TGGGAGAAAGAAATATTAGAGCTAGCTTTCACCTCTTCATTCGGAGGTGGAAGCGCTTATATGGGCAATGGAGAGTATGAGGAATTTGCGTCAATATCGGGTTACTTTTGCAACAGATTGTTCTCAATTGGTGAAGATGGTATCGGAACCAGAAGAATGGCCAGCCTTTGCAAGTTATCTGGAGCATATCAAAACGTTTAAAGGACATTTCCAAAGCTCAGAAATCATCTATGTTTCAAGAACACTAAATTCACGGACGGGCAGTCTTGCACGCAGTGCCAGAAGACAATCGTCTTTCGTTGTTCACATGGATACGGAAGTACTGAGATGGTTCGCAAAATCAATATGAATCTGTTTTATTTGATGATAAAAAAAAAAAGAAAAAAAAAGACCCGGAGATAATTAATTATTGTTATGTAGATCTTACTCTCACATTAGAAAGGCGTCAAGAGTGAGAGAGAGAGACCGAGTTAATAATATAATATCATTTTCTCGTTCTTGCATATTTACTTTTTCTTCTTTGTTACTTGCTTACATAAGAAGAAAAAGATTATAGTTGGTATAAATATATTGATGCTTCACTATATTTCACAGCATATTATTAGTAAGAACGCTCAAATACCAGTAAGGTAAGGTTCAATTTATGTCTTTTGATTTATTTAAATTATAGAAATTCTATTATTGTTCCGGAGTAAAGGTGATAGGAGACCGATTTTGGAAAGGGTCATCTGCGCCAGACTAATAGAAAACAAGAGTAAAGATAGACAGGAGACTAATTTTGGATCTTTAACTTAAAAATCAATCAATGGCTAAAAAACAATACAAATTATATTCTTTTTTATTTATAGTTATTGTAAACTTATTTAAACTTTAAATAATTCTGATATCATAATTTAAAACTTTTAGTCTGTATTGCTTATTTAAATTTTCAAATTATGTGATTGATTAAAAATTAAGATTTAATGTTTTATGTGAAATAGATCCATATGAAGTATGTGGTTTGGAGTTTAGGGTGTGAAATTATATTATGAATATACTGGTTTTATTTAGAGTTTATAGTTTGTATAACTTCATAATTTAGTATAAAGTAAGTGTTATAAATATAAAATGTTATGATTTAATACTTTTTGTATAGAGTTTGGAATAAGATGTAGGGTTTGGAGTAAAAGTAGAGTTATGGGTACATGTAGGGTTTGTATTATGATGTTTAAATTTGAATATTTCTGAATGATATATAAAATGAGTGTTTGGATTAAAATGTTTAAAGTAGAAAAGCTATGTATAAAATGAAATTTAAAATATAGGATTTGAGATATGTAGTTAGGATTTAGGGCATGTTTAGGGTGTAGAACTTAAAGTAATTCCCTTTTTGGTTTTTTGTTTTTTTATTTATTATTAGTGTTGGATTTTCTCTTTATCATATTAAGTTAAAAATTTATTTATATATTTATTCATTAGTGCTTTAAAAATCATTAATAAATATATTTCACTCTAATAAACACAAGTAAATCATTAATAACTATAAGTTGGATGTGATACACCGATTTGATAAGGTTTGAAAGGAACTTATGGGGTTTAAAGTTCATGATATACTTACTGTACACCTCTAAAACATATCCTAAACAAAAATGATATTTTTCTCAAAAAAAATAATCTAAACCCTAAACATACCCTAAAAGGATAAAATAATAATTTTAGTTTTGATAAAAAAATATATTTTTGTATAAAAAATATAAAAATAGTTTAGGATATGTTTAGGATTTAGATTTTGAGGCAAAAAAAAAAATTTCTTTTTTTCTTCTAATTTGTTATTAGTACTAGATTTTCTTTTTATAATATAACATTCCCATACATTACCGTAACCATCTCTCCAAGTTTCTAAATAGGTACAAAACATATTGAATTTGTAGCTATAAAGACTATTCAATTACAATTAAAATATATTACAATTAAACTTGATTGCATTGTACAAGCAGCACTCGGTATATTCTTGGCTACACTGGTTGGAGACAGGTCACGTGTGGACTCAGATTGGTTCATGAACTCCTCAATACCTTCAGCCTATTAACATTCACACATGTTAATATCAAACACATCTGATTTCAAACAGAAACGGTTCTGATTGATTTATCAATAATCTATCATCACTAAGGATCTGAAACCACTTAGTCACTAAACAACCAGTATGCAAATAAAGTTACAAGATACAGATCTCAATATCATTTTTACTAAGACGGATCAATATGCAAATAAAGTTATTAGCTTTGCCATTGAATATTGAAAAGCGAATACAAGTGAAAAAAAAACTTACAAAACATCATAACGATCCCGGAACATTGACACAAGCCTCTAGAGATAACACAACAGGCCACTATATAGGTAGCAAACGCAATCACCTCGGAAGCTTTAGATGCCATTTCTATATGCTGCATCACGTAAACTCTTCCCCATTCCTAAAAAAATGTTTAGAACAGAATAAACATAAATAAACCTTAGCACTACTCAAATCAAACCTCAAAAATAGAAATAAAAACTCTAAAACTACTTGAATATGAAAGAAACAAGAATATATAGAGATGTGTAACTCCCTCTACCTGAGAAGTTTCATTATCGGACATCTCCATCAAAAGTGGACAACAAGGGCCATTTTTCTTGAAACAGAGGTTCCCATAAGAAATCAGAACCACATAGCTCTCTCCAGAACCTAGAACAGCTAATGAGTGCGCAAAGATCAGTCACCTATCCAATCATCAAGAATCAGAGTCTAAAAGTTTATAATCAAGAAAAGAACACAACATCTGTAACCACCACAGATCTTGTCTAAACGACTCTTGTTGTCCCTCCCGTCGCAGCTCGATTCGCATCCTATGATATGAGATTCGATGTTGGTTACCGCCGTGATCATTTACAAAAGGAAAAAAAATTAATCACCAGACAAAGTCTTAAGAGAATTATCAGAGGTAGAGAATTTATCAAAGCAGGTCTTACTTCCTCATCAGAAAGTTCCACGATGAAGACACATCCTTCTCCCTTAGGATTCTTGTAAGTTCTCATGACTCCTTTGTTTGTAACACAGACTTTGATGGCCCAGCTTCCTTGGTAAGGGTTCCAGGACACGAGCGGATGCACCCGCTTTCTTTTTTTCTCGAAAGGAGAAGGAGGATTGGTCAAAAGACAGAGGAGAGAATTGATTTTTTTTTGTGTGTGTATCAACCCTGGTTAGAGGTTATTTTTGATTGAGGATTCAACCAAAAAAGCACGAACTTTGCACGAATGGTCAAATAAAACCTGAATTCGAAGCTGAGCAAAAAAATATTGTACTTTCTCTGACTTTTTAATTTTATTTGAGAACTTATAATTGACTCGCCATTTTAACACACCGTGATCTTATAGTATATACGCCGTTATTTTAACGTTAAATATCGACATTAACTGAAACTAAGTCTTTTTGGTTAACTGAAACCACATCGTTTTGTGTTCTTTTAAAATAAAAAACATGTCTATCTCAGAATTCGAACTCAAGAATTCTAAGCCAAACAGCATGGTCTTTTACCACTAAGTTAACATCACTTCTGATGAAATCTCTAACATATTTCCTTTTATTGAGTATCCAAAAAATCTTTAAAAACCTTAAAATTTTACAAAATTCCAAAAATCAAGAAATATTCTGAAAATATTAAAATGGATACAAATAAAATTTAATTTTTTTGCTAAAATTAACTTAAAAAATTCAGAAAATCTAAAAATCCAAAAAATGCGAAAACTAATGATTAAAAAGATGACAAGAAAAAATAATTATTAAAATAATTAACTTTTTTATAAAAATTAATGTATCTAAGATCATTTGTCTATTTTATCTTAAATATATTAATCATACAAAATATATAGTGTGATAAATATAATTTTGTATATTATCTTACATGCATTCATTTATATAAGAGTTTTCAAAATATTTAAAGGTAGGAGCTCCCACCATCTTCTACAGAGCTCTTACCTTGTTCTCCAAAGCTCCCACCTTGTTCTCCAAAGCTCCCATCCTATCCCCCACCAACTTGATCTCTTTAAGGCACGTCCAAAACCCATCCCTCATGGCATCAGATATGTCCTTGAAGGCCTTTTCAAGCTGCTTTTTCGTCATCCCACCAACAGTCGTTGAAGGCGCTTGACTACCCTCTGCAGGTGCCTCAGCTTCAACATACGACCCTTTACGAGCTTTCTTCCGAGGTCTGGTACTTTCTTCCTTCACAACACTCTCCTCCTTCACTGTAGTAACTTCCGTCTTCACTGGACTCGCTTCATTCTTCACTTCACTCACTTTATTCTTCACTTGACTCACTTCGAACTTCAATGGCTTCTAAGTACCGATGACTTGTCAGCAGTCCATGGTACTTCCATCCAGGATCATCAAACATGACTTTAATTATGTTGTCCACGGCAGGGTGGTCTACGTCTCCGTCCCATTTTGGAAACATTTCATCAAATTCCTTTTGAACAAAGTTGTTCACGTTAATCTGTAGTAAATAAAAGATATAATTTCAAACAGACGAATAAACTTTCAGTCGTCTGAGATTTTTTTTCAGTCGTCTGGTGAATAATTTCAAACAGACGACGGAATGATGAATAATTTCAAACAAACGAATAAACTTTCAGTCGTCTGTTTTAAATTAGTAAATAACAGACGACTGAAAAAAATCTCAAACGACTGAAACAAATCTCAGACGACTCAGACAACTTACTGGGACTATATTCGTAAACATGTTTTCTGTTTTTTTGTTTAGTCACAAGAGACTATGATGTAATTTCATAAGGCTCTTAGGTTAGATTTGCATTTGATTCAAGTTTGAGTCTAGTATATGGATTAAAATCAAGTTGTGGATTAGTTTTGGCAAAAACCCCTTTATTTTTTCCTCATGGATTTTAAAAGAATTGAAATTAATTTGATAGAATCTCAAATTCTCTACAGATCTATGAAATTTATAAGAAATTTTTGATCTTTTATATTAAGAAAGACATCTTTCATGTTCAAGGTATGAATGTCTTTTTTCCAAATCAGGAATCTCTTTGATAGCATCCCAAATGTTATTCTTTCTCTTCTCAGATTCTCTTACTTCAGCTTCTTTTTTATGCCTTTCTTCTCTTTGTTGCGTGATGTTAGTGCTTACTCCAATCATTTCACTTAGCACCTTTTCAGAATGATCACCAAGGTTAATCGACTCTGATGGACCTCCATCACCATTGGGTTTAGCTCTCTTCCTAGAAGGAAGCTCTATATGCTTCATTAGACTCCATACCATTTTCCATATGGTTCACATCTTCTCTTTCTTGAAAATGATTTTCAACTTCAAAAACGTCGACAGCTTCATCAACACCAAGTCCAAATGCGTTGTTTCTCTTTTCTGTAGCACTTTCAAAAATGACTTACAAGTCTTCAAAAGCTTCAAAGGTCTTCGTCCGCATATTATCATTATTTGGATGTGCCTGGTAAAAATGTTATATGTTCATTACTAAAAATATTTATAAAAAAACAAATAAAAGGCTAATAAAAACTTTGAAGGGGAGTTAGAAAAATTACCTTAAGATATTCTTCCCATACTTTGTCTGGAGCTGTGAATTGTTTTGTTATGGGATCTCACCCAAAACCAGAGCTAAATCGTAACAGGTCTGCATAACTTTGATATTCTTTTTTCAAAGATTTCATTCGACTCAAGTACTGCTTGTGATTCTTGTTGCATCCAAGCTGTTTGTTTAGAATCGGCAATACCCTTGTCTCTATTGTTTTTTTGGTCATTGAGCCATTTGAATCACGCCAGCCTTGTCTGATACCATCAACCAAAAGATGTTTCAACAGTTGACTCTCTTGAGATGTTCATGGAAAATATCCACCTTTAAATTTTTTTTGGTTGCGACGTTTCTTCGTCTTCCATCCTAATACAAAAATGAATATATTTATTAGTCATCTTTTACATATAGAGACGAGGGTATTGCTTACACTCAACAATTTACAATCAGGGATAGTGATATATTCAATGATTATCTTATAAAAACAGAGCAAACTATGATTTCTTAAACGAATGTTATTGACGATAACCCAAAAGACAAAGACAAAAACAAAAAGTACTACTTTACCTTCTGTGGAAACCTTTTCTTGAGTTTTTTTTCTGCTTTGAGAAGTGATATGATATGCAATGCTATATATATATAGGTGAAGCAATCTAAATTGTTTTTCCTAAAATAAATACAAACTATTTTATAGGGATTTTTTGATATATAGTTGACTGAATTTATGGGAGAGGATCTAACCAAAACCTTTTAAGAACGATAGGTATTATTTTGCTAAGATTTTATGGTATATCGTTGATTATAGTCAACACAGAGAAAACTATTTTTGTTTAATGAACAAAAACCACAGAGAAACTCATCGATACCAGATGTGTTTCCACGGGAGAGATAAAGGACAAACTAGATCCTCAAGACACCGCACATGCCACCAATAAGGATCTCGACAGATCCGAAACCTGCACAAAAGAAGAGCTACCCCAATGGAAACTCTTTCCTCACACGCACCAACCCACCGACAAAAATCACATGATCTTCTTGTCGGCAACCGATCGGACCTTAACGAATGAAACTCATCCCACCACAAGCATAAAAACGCAGACAAAGAAAACATGAAGGAGCAGAGAAGAGCAAAAGAATAGAAAAGAAGCCTTCGGCTGTAATTATTGTTGTGTTTTGTTGGGGATGACAATTCTCTTCATACTAATAAAGAATTGATTCTTTACGTTTTCACAATAAGTTTTCATTAAATTATTTTCGAAAAACATTACTACAAAATCTATCCAAATATTTAATAACACCAGAATTTAAAGTAACTAGAAAACAGATTACAAATCTTTAATCCACTAACACATAATTTCAAGAGAACTGATTAAATGAATAATTGAATAATAACAGAATTTAATGGAAAGTATGATTCCTTCAAATTCCATTGAACTTCTTGATCCAATACCCCCACCTAAGATATATAGTGCTCTTTTAACAAAATTCGAGTAGGATTCGGAGGTTTATATTTTCCAAACTCTTTAGGATCGATTAGTTATGAACTTCTGATAGGGTTAAGAGGTTTATCTATCGCTTGGGAAAATAGATTTATCTAATCTATATTCAACCCAAAATAAATTAATTATGTACCCTTATTGAGAAAAGTACAATTGTAACGAATTTAACAAGCATATTAGCTCCTACGAGTTGCAAAAGATTCTGAAGAGGTATAAGAAGAAGCTTGATCGGTTTTGACCATCGTAGTACTATTGGTGCTGCAAGATGCAGTGCTACTGCACTCTGTAGCCAAAGAGCTAATCCTTAAGAATGGAGGATTGGTTGGAGATGGAATCGGATAATCTCTCTCCGTTAACATAAGGATGACTTCTTCCATCGATGGTCTCAGCGATGGAGAAGCTTGTGCGCATAACAATCCCACACAAAGAATTTTGCAAACTTCTGGTTGGACTTGAATCAACTCGTCGTTCAGACATGGGTCTAGGGCTTCTACCAATCTGTTCAGTCTGTAGAGATTCCATACCTAGAAACCAGAAAAGTTATTCAAATTCAAGATTCCAGAAAGAAAGAAAGAACAACTAAATTTTGTTATTGGTGAATCTTATAACTTACTCTCTGTAAGAGATGGCCAGCTCCTGGCACGAAAACGTTGTTTCTTGCTCCACAAGCGATTTCGAGAACGAGAACTCCATAGCTATAAACATCAGCTTTCTTCGTTAACTGTCCTCTAACAACATACTCTGGAGCCATGTAACCTCTGCAAATTAGGAGTGAGTGGGAAAATTTATCATCGAGCCCAACACATGAATCAGTCGAACCATCTAGTTTCTAGTAGCTTACAGAGTTCCTGCGATTCCGGTGCTAAGATGAGTTTTATCCATACCGAGACATCGAGCCAAACCAAAATCAGCGATCTTGGGATTGAGTTGGTCGTCTAGAAGAATATTGCTGGTTTTGATGTCTCGGTGAATAATCCTAACCGGAGAGCCGTGTAGGTAAGCCAATCCATCCGCTGTTCCAAGGATTATGTTTAGCCTCTGGTTCCAGTTTAAACTCTTCCTTTTACTCTCATCTGAAAATCACAAAAGAAACAACTTGTTAAGAGTCCCAGAGCTTCCAAAAGTTTGACAAGGCTTACCAAAGAGAAAGTTGTCGAGGCTTTTGTTAGGGACGTACTCGTAGACCAAGAGACTCTCGGGTCCTTCAATGCTACAACCAAGAAGCTTGACGAGGTTCTTATGCTGGATTCCACTTATCAGGTTCACTTCGTTGAAGAATTCTTCTACCCATTCTCTTGTGTTAAACACTAGTCTCTTCACTGCCACGCTCTTGCCATCTGGGAGGGTTCCTAAGAAAACGGTACCGTTTCCTCCTTCCCCTAGTTTCTTCTTGGTGCTGAAGTAATCAGTTGCCTTCTCTAGAGTCTCGTATTTGAACTTAGTCTTTGACTTCTTGAATCTTCTTGAAACTAAACCAAGATTTCTTTGTTCTGCTCCTCAAAAGATGAACGATATAAATTGGGTATACACATGATGATGTGGTATGAAATTAGTGCACATACTTAAAAGAATGTTTGAAATCTCTTAGAAAATGAGCTTTTTAATGCACATACCTAATCAAAATCATGTATTAAAAATGAAATGCTTATATATATATATATATATATGGAGAAAAACATAGAGAAGTAGTGCATGTGATTAGAATGCCACCTTGTTTCGTCTTTGATACTTTGACAATAATGACATACGTTGCCAACAGAAAGAGCATGACGAATGCTGACAAGGTCAAGACAATAGCCACGACAACTCCTTTGTTATAAAGCCCTGCCACCAATTTTTTTTCATAAGAGCATTTTAACCCAAGATTCTTAGGCACAAATTCTTAGGATTTTTTTTTTATTTTTTGGTCTGAAAACAAAAATTCTAATCAATCGCGTACCCTCACTAAAAGCAACTTTTGCACAAGAAAAAAAATTGGTTTTTGCCAAAACCATGGGTCCCAAACTTAAGAACGAATCCCCTTTAATCCTCCTCTAAGGGTGTTTATAAATAAAAAGGTGCATTCCACTAATTGGGTTTAAATTAACCGAAATAAAAAAAAGTGTGTAAACATCAAATTTTAGAAGCAGTTGAATTAGTGTTGTCATAAATAAAATAAAACCAAATTTAAATTGTAACTGAGTTACTAGATCTCGATCCGCACAAACGTGCAGATTTTCTTTTTATTTATAATTTATAAAAAAATTCATGAATAAATAATAATATATTTATTTATAAAATCATGCAAAATACTAAAATAATAGATGTTAAAGTATCATTTTTAATCACAACATGAAAATATAAATTATCACTAACAAATATTTATCTATAGTGTATCTAAATAAATTTTAAAATGTATTGTATGCAAATTCCAGAAATTAAAACTCTATATTAAAGAAGATTATAATTTAATTTATTTTAAATTATAATTTATGTATCAAACTCAAAAATATATTATTTAGTAATAACAATCAATAAAAATATATATTAAAATATATAAAACAAATTACTATATATTAATAATGAAGAATAAAGAACTTAAACAACTAAATTATAGAGTTATATAATATATAACATTAAATGTAAATCATATATTTAATTTTTTATAATACTATCAAAGTGTTGTATTTATAAAATGAAAAAAATTGTGTGGGTTAAACTCTAATATATAGTTTTTTATTTAAGATTTAGAAATATATAAGGCTATCTAGATAAATTTTAATATCTTAAACATAAACATTTGTATTTCGTATAAAAGATAAATATATGGGATAATATTATGGAAATACAATTTAAAAAGATGCCAAAAAGATTTTGTTGGATTTATTTCATTTGTATTTCAAATAGAAAAATAAAGATATTTAAAGATATTATCATTAAATTATGTAACATCTGATAATCTTCATAATTTTCTTAAGGAATAATCCATTTTTAAAAAAAATCACACATGAATCTAGGTTGTGACTTCTGTTTTAATATATAAGGTTTGGAACCGAAATCAAATTAAAAGAGAAAATACTTTTGTAACGATTTTTACCCAAAAATATTTGGATGATTAGTATCATAACTAAAAACTAGATTGTAGCATATAAACCAAGCAAAGGCCGGTTTTCAAAAAAAAAAACTTATTCCTTTCGGTTTTGCATACAGGTTTTGCACACAGATTAAAGAAATATTTAATTTTATATATTTTCAAG